GCTTGGCTGGGTTGGGTTGGCTCTTCCCCGATAACTGGTTTTTAGGCTTCTTCTGTCCTTTACCTGATCTTTCATTGGCGAACCCTGAGGACTGAATTGGACCGTGGTTCAGGAAAGCATCCCTGGCAGTTTGTGCTAACGTACCACTGACATCCACGGCACCAGGAGGCTACAACGAGCTCTGCAAGGACCCAGTCCTTCTCCTCCTCCCCACCCCAAGTCTTGTCCTTTCAAAGCATTAACACCTTTCATCCTCCATCCTTCGGGCTCCCTTTTTCTTGTGCACAGGGCCCTGTGGCTTCTCTCTCTACTGCATCAGGCTGCAGATGGAGGGGAGCAGCTTCCCGAAGCGACAGCTGCCCACGCCAACCCTGAGGATGGGAGCGTGGTGCTGAGCTCATGTCTGCCGCTGTGGGCTGGAGTCTGCCCTCCCACTGCCAGCACGGGCAGGCACCCATGAGCTAATCCTTTCCACGGTCAGTGTGGGGGGTGGCAGGGACCGGGCAGCCTCGGTTTTTGGCTGGAAGGCCATTGCCACCAGCAGCAGCATCGCTTGCGCATGAGCCTTTTCACAGCCCGGACTCCCAGTGGTGGGAGGTGGTGTGGGATGGCCACCATGGTCCCCACCAGCCACATCATAGAATCACAGAATGGTTTGGGTTGGAAGGGACCTTGAAAGACCATCTAGCCCACCCCCCCCCTGCCATGGGCAGGGACATCTTCAACTCGATCAGGTTGCTCAGAGCCCCATCCAACCTGGCACTAAATGTTTCCAAGGATGGGGCACCTACCACCTCTCTGGGCAACCCCTGCCAGTGGTTCACCGCCCTCATCATAAAAAATTCCTTCCTTATACCTAGTCTCGTGACCTCTGGGCAGGATGGTCATTGCCTGCCCCTCTGGATACCTCCAGCCCCCATCCTCATGATGGGAGCGCGTGGTGGCAGGGAGGATGAAGTCCCCATGGGATTTGCACGTCTGGTGCAGTGATTGCCCAGCAGCAACCATCCCTCTGGGTGCTCAGGGAAGGATGACCTTCCAGCCAGCCCAGGGTCTAGGCCCCACCAGTGGGATAGAGCAGCCTTGTCTGACATGGACTGGTTCTCTGCTGGAGACTTGGAGAGGCTACATCCTTAAACAAAATGCACTTAAAATCATATAATTATGACAATTATTAACACTGTTTACTAGGCCAAGATCTGCAGCGTTGGAAACATTAAAACCCAGGATATGCAGAAACCACAACACTATAAACTACCCAGTGGATTTGCTTGTATTCGTTGCAGAAGAAGGAATAAAATGAAGTTGTCTTATGCACATCCATCCTCATGTGCTTTTTAAAATAAACCTCATTACATTGGTTTCGTGAGATGGGTCTGGCCAGCCCTAATGCATCCTTTAGCAGAACCTCAACTTTTTCCATGGAGAGGGTGATGGAATTTGCTGGTAAGTGGATTTATGGCATTGCAGACCTGCCGTCCACACCACTTCCGTGATGGTCACAAACACATCCTATGACCAGAAAACCGAACTGCTGGGACAGGCCAAGCACCCATCTCCTGCTGCAGTGTTTGCAGTAGGTAGGTAAATAATTAGCAACAAGAACTGATTGTGGTTGAGATAAATTTAGTTCGGCTGCACTGAGACCATAGAGGCAGAGGACGTGGGACCTGCTCCCACCACCTCCCTGCAGGATGGGGCTTTGCCATCGGGGCGGGCGAGCTGGTGTTGGCTGGTCGTACCTTGAGGGCACGACATCTGTGGGTGTTGTTTTCAGCTATCAGTTGCTCCACCGCAAAGTTTAGCTCTAGATAAATCAAGATTGTTTCACTGAGTCCAGATGACTCATAACCACAGGGCAGGAAACTCTTTTATCTTTGGGGCAGGCGGTTTAATATAGATAGATGTTCACTCCTGAGCTCTGAATAATTTCCGTCTCTTTACTTCTCATTAAAAGCAAATCAGAGGAGGGAAAATAGTGAGAAATTTCTCTATGTCGCCTCTGTTTCTACCATCTCTGAGAGAACTTCCTCCAAATTGTGCAGTCTGCCTGTACTGGGTCACTTGTCATATATTTTAACTGGCAGAAAAAAGTGCTTTTGCTCCAAAGCACCACTCCTTTTTAAAACCTTGATTCTGCAGGCATGGATGGAGCAGGGATCTGTTACAACAGGGTCTACTCCAGCTTCCAGAGAGGTACTTTTGGAGTCTTCTTTCCTTCCCTGATATGGGAGAGCATTGTTGCCCCCTTGGATGAAGGGGAACCACAGCAGAATTAGGCATCTGTCGACGACCCTGCTAAAAGAGCCGTCTTCGCCTCCGAGCAGCAGCTGGAGGTGGAGAGAGGAGGACTTGGGCAGCAGGGAGCTCTTAAGCACAAGAGAAAGGGCAACGTTTTGCTGGAGAGTCTCTTGAGTTGGTTATTTCTCTTTCCTAAGTATGTCAGATAGCACTTTGCTTCTCGGGCTTGGTCCGTGGGTCAGGACCTGCCTTCCTGGTTGCCTCTTTCTGCCAGACTGCCCTGCCTGCACAGGCACGAGGGGCTTTTCTCTCTTAATTTCTGTCCACCAGTGACAGCAGAGCTGCTTGATGCTTTTCCGCTCCTTTAATATCTGGGATCTTGTATGTGCCATCTGTAGAGGTTTATATGTGCCGTGTGTGGAGCCCTTGGCAGGAGGAGCCTTCAGTAGTGGCTGTGCCAGGAGCTGCTCCATGTCCATGATGAAACTCGATGTGCTCAGGTTGCCGCAACCATAAGCTGAGGGCTCTGTATCCAGAGCCAGGTAGGTCCTAGTGAGCCCAGGGCTGGTTCTCCATCTCTTCCCTGCATTGTGCAGGTCTCTCCCACCGTGGTGATGCCCTCCTTGGGAGACAGCTGCTCCTCTTCCTCCCCACCAGAACCAGCAGGACCCTGCTGTGCACATCTCACCAACCTCTGCATGGTTGCTTGCCACCTGAAGCTCACGTGGTTGGTATTCACTGTCTGTCCGGTCCGTAAAGTCATACATTCAGATAACGCCCATCCCTGGAGGAATCCAGGGCATCAACTTGACACTGCGATTTGGGGCACACTCAAGACCTCTAAATCCATAGGCACTGAAGCCAGTGAGATGAGTGATTGGCAGGAGGCAACATCCCCATCATTTTCCACTTTTAAATATCACAGTAATAAAAGGTCAAATCATTAAAGGCCTTCTGCAGCCCACTGTACCTAATCTGAAATCAGGATGATGAAGAGCACATAGTGAGGTTGTTATTAATATCCTGCCTCCTGACGATGGCTTTATAAACGTCGTCATCACGGGCACAGCCTCGCGGTAGCATTTTGGGATGACCTTCTAGACAACTGTCATGTTTTTTATCATGCTTATCCTGTGCTTGATATTTAACCAATAAAGTGATACGGGGGAGACCTTGCCCCTAAATATCTGACCCTATACACAGGGGTATGAGGTCAAAACTGAGAGAAGCCATGTTAAGTGCAGTTGTGCTAAATGCTTTTTAGACCTGATGCTCCTTGTCCGAGAGCTGTGCCACGGGCTACGGCAAGAAGGGGATCAGGTGTTTGACGCCAGTGAAAACCGTCTGTGCTGTAAGGGATGGCTCATGGGCAAAAGCCTCACGCAGCAGCGAGGCCACGCTCGCACTGAAGCCAGGGACTTTGCCTGATGGGGATGAGGTCTTGGTGGGGACATGAGGGTGATGGCTGCATGGAGAAGGGCAGCTCCCCCTTTGGGAAGCCAAGAAAAGATGCCAGCTTTCCTAGTGACTTGTACATCTTTATCATGGCTATTTAAAGTAGAAATCAAACTCGGAGTGGAGAAAAGATTTTGTAGCTTAATCAGTGTGGATGGAGAAGGTGAGGAGCAGCCATGGAGCCTGGGTCTGCCGGTGAGCAGGAAACTGGGGGTCATTGGTCCCCGTCAGGACCTGGCATTGTCTTGGTGCCATTAGAAATGGCCTTTTGCCTGTTCCCTGCTCTCGCTTCACTTTCAGATGTTGCTCTTTGCCGGAACAGAGACCCTGAGGAAAGTCACGTACCAAAGAGGGCTGAGGGACAGCGATAAGTGGAGGAGATGGGTTCCTGCTAGAAGGATGGATATGGAGATGGTGCGCAAAGGCCGCCCCAAGCCTGTGGTGGGCAGCACTCACCCAGCATGGGGCTGGAGGCTGTCGGTCCCTGCAGCCCCCACTGCTGAGGGGGTCTGGGCAGCCCCGAATGGGGCACCCCATCTCTGTAGGGGCTGGATGGTGGAGACTGGGAGTAAGGAGAGATTTCCCTGGTGTGATGGGTGGGGACCAGTTGCAGAGCTGAGCAGCCTGAGGTTGCTTAGGGCTTCCCAACTCAAGGGCAGTGTGGGGCCAGGACGGCCCTTGGGTCTGGAAGGAAATGTCTCACCCACAGGGTTCATACAAGCCCCTCGGGACCCCCAGAGGTCCAGCAGCAGTGATGAGGAGGAGGAACAGACTGGCCTCAGCTGATGAGAGATGGATGAGAGCATTGCTGGCACCGGCATCCGCCTTGCAGCCGCTCACATCAGTGCTGCCTCGGCACTGCTCTGGCTCTCCTGGGTCATGCCTCAGTCCTGATGCTGCAGATGTACCTCTGCCTTTCTGGCACGTCCTCCATGCCTTGTTTCCCCACACCTCCTTGCCCTTTCCCAGGTCATCCTCCCCTAAAATGACGCAGCAGATGCGGGACCTGCAGCTGGCACAGGCCAGGAAGCCACCGGGCCCTTCCTCACCAAATGCAGCCAAGAGGCTCTACCGAAACCTGTCAGGGAAATTCCGCGTCAACTACACATCCTTCGACGAGGGCAGCCTGGCAGGACGGGGCGAGAAGGAGAAGCTCCGCAAGTCTTACCTGGTCAGTGCCTGCTGGCTCCATCGAGGGTCTGTGTGTGGGCGATGCTGTCACCTGGGTGGAAGGCCAAGAGTACATTAAGTGAAGCCACCCTGGAGCAAGTCCAGGTGGAGCTGGTCTGGGTGTTTGCTCAACATCATCTGGTTGTGTCTGCAAAGAGCTGATGCTCCCAAGCCCTTGGGACCTGGGCATCCCCCCCTGTTTGGGTTAGTGGGGTGCTGGTGAGGGGCTAAGGTGTTTGGTGGGGTGCAGGAGGGTGCCCCATCCTCAGCCAACCTGCATTCCTCCTTCCACCCAGTTCCAGAGCAATGCTGCCCTCTTCGAGGCTGTGGAGCTGCAGGACCTAGACAGGGTCCAGGAGCTGCTGAAGCAGTACAGCCCCGAGGAGCTTGACCTCAACACCCCCAACAGCGAGGGGCTACTGCCCCTGGACATCGCCATCATGACCAACAACGCTCCCATCGCCAGGGCCCTGCTGCAGGCAGGAGCAAAGGAGAGCCCGCACTGTGAGTTGGTGTGGGGGAGCTGGGCCGTGCCCATCACCTGGGTCTCCAACCTGGTGGAGCAGGGCACCCCAGGCAGCGCGGTCTGGGTGGGGTGATGGTCACTGGGTTTTGGGAAACTGGTGCAGGCTGTAGCAGGGGCTGGAGTGGAGCCAGGCACTCGAGTGGAGCCCGGGAGAAAGGCACAAAGGAGAGAATGGGGTCTCGGGGTGAGGACTTTGTGCCAGCAGCGCCTGGGCTTGCCCTAACCACCTTTTCTTTTGCCCTAACCCCCTTTTCTCCCCTCCTCCTGACTCCTCTCCTGGGCCCCACGGCCGTGCCCACCCACGCCTCAGTCGTGAGCCTGGAGAGCCGCTCACTGCACCTCTCCACGCTGGTGCGGGAAGCAGAGCAGCGCGTCAACGAGCTGACGGCGCAGGTGGTGAACGAGGCACCCAACGCCGACTGCTCTGAGAAGGAGAAGCAGCTCAAGGCCTGGGAGTGGCGATACCGGCTTTACAAACGCATGAAGGCAGGGTTTGAGCATGCCCGTGAGTGCCCGCAGGAGGGCTTGGGGGGCCTGGGGGGCAGCCCCCGCACTGGGGGAAGGAGCAGGGCTGTGCATGGTCCAGGCGTGAGGCTGCACCGGCACCCATCAGAGGATCGCCACACGCTATAGCCAGGGTGCACGGGGCAGGGTTGAATGCTCTGGGAGCGTGTTCCTGGGTGTGGGGGGCGACTCAGGAGGGACACTGAAGGGTTCAGAGTGACCGTCCTCGCTGTAGCAGTCTCTGCGCTCTCTGTCCCTAGGTGTGCCAGATGCCCCCACCAACGTCCACCTCTCCGTGGCCAGCAGCTCCTCGGTGCAGGTGACCTTCTGGGAGCCCCTGAGCGTCAACTCAGCTGTTGTCACCAAGTACAAAGGTACGGACCAGGGTCCCCACAGCGGTGCAGGGGGGCATGCAGCCATGGCAGATGCCTTGAATGTGCCCGTGGGGCGTGCTGGGGCGCTCACCCAACGCCAGCACATGGGGAGCGTGGGCAGTGCTGTGATGTCCGCTGGACATCCTGGCCACCACTCAAACAGGCTGAGCTAGACCGAACCACCGTCCTGCACCAAGGCAAAGCTTGGAATGCCACTTATTTGCTGCCCCCTCATCCTGCACACTGGGGGCCCTTTGCCGTCCTGCCTCTCCTGCTCCCCTCACCCACTTAAACTGGATATTTTTGGCTTCTGGGAGAATTTCCTCCATCCCCAACTCCTCATCCATCTTTTGAGGGTGCTGGCCCCATCTGACATGGCTTGATGAGGAGGATTGCAGCTCCTCGTGCTGTCCCCCTCGCTGTGGTTCCCCCTCTCCCCTACCTTCACTCCGCTGCCTCCAGCTCCCGTGCTGCCTGTGGTCTGCCCTGGTAGCCTGTCCCCGCTCCGGGGCCACGCAGCACCTTGGGGTCTCTCTCCTTTCAGTGGAGTGGAGCTGCTCCCCGACCTTCTCGCCACCGCTGGGGGAGGCTGTGATCGACAAGTTGAAGAACCTGCACTTCACTATCGGGGGGCTGGTGTCGGTGAGCTCTTGGGGTGCCCCGTGGGTGTCTGGGCTGTGGGGGGAGAGCCCACAGCTGGGAAAAGCCACTGGCCGCAGTGCAGCCCCGGGGGTCATTCCCTGCAGCCGACGCGGGGAGGGGATGGGGCATCATTTTGGGTAGGTGGAAAAGGGTTGTGCCGTGGTGCGTGCTGTGTTCAGCGCAGCCTGTGGGCAGAGCTAAGAGCGTGGGGCCGGGAGAGGCATCTGTCTGTCCCTGCACAGCCACAGCTGCCCTGGCAATGGGGAAACCCCCTGCATGGGGTGCCTGGGGACTCTGGAGTGAAAGGCAGAATGGGCTCATTCACCAAGCGCCTGATTTATCCTCTGTCCTCCACCCTGCTCCCATCTCCACCCGTGATCTTCCTGGGCAATAAATCAGTGGCTCGTTCCTCTGCCACCTACACCGATTGAGCCCTCGCACCAGCCCTGTCGCTCACTAGAGAGAGGGGACCAACCCCATCTCCATCTCCGGGAGCTCGGCAAGGTCATGGGCTGGTGGGGGCTGGGGCTCCCCGCTGTTTTATCTCCCTGAGAACCTCAGGGGCCAAGTTGCCTGTCAGCTGTCCCCTCCCCAGGGGCTGCCGTCCTGTCCCTGGCAAGCATTGAACCAACCCTGAGGGGGAGACGGGGCAGAATGGGGACTGCGGTGGGATGGAGCTTGAGATGGGAACACGGGGAGATGGATGGGGTCACCCTTACCAGGGAGGTGCAGTGCCAGAGCTCTGGGGCAGGCAGGCAGGGACCACCAACTTGAGGAGCTGGGAAAGCCCTTGATGCGGTTAGAAGGGGTTAGGCAAGAAAGCGGGGGCCGAGCACTGTCGGGGTGGGAGAGCTGCCCTGGTGCGTGGCAGGATGGGGATCGAGTGGAGCCCGGAGCAGCGCTGCTGCAAGGAGCTGGCCTGAGCCTATCAATCATGCTTTCAGAGCTGCTTCGCAGGCTCCTGTCCGCCTTCATGAGTGCCTGGAGGCTTTGCAACATCTGGCAGCTTGACTGGGCTTTAATCAGAGGCCTTTAATCACTGTCGCCGTGCCACAAGCCCTTGACAGCGTTGAGCTGGTTCCCTGTCTCCCGGGGCCGGATCCTTGCACGTCCCAGCAGGAAGGCAGCACTCCGACCCTCCAGGCTGCGGAAGCCCCATGTCTTTAGGGCCGGAGCATCTCCTGGCAAGGGGCATTTGTAATGTCCCGTGCTTCCTCTGCCTCCCCCCAAAAACCACCCACCTGGACCGTGGGGATTCTCTAATGTCTGATAACAAGAGCTTTGTACAACTGGGAGAGATCAGAGCCAGCGACCTGGGCTGCGGGCTCCCAGCTTAGTACTCCTCATGGCGGACTGGTGTACTGGACTGGGGTGGGATCCTCCTTCCCTTGCACACCGAGCCAGGAGAGGTGCCGGTGCACTGAGTGTGGCTTCCCTCCTCGCAGGGCACAGCTTACTACGTCCCGGGGTCCGCCCACAACACGAAGGGCGG